AGACGTATTTAAATTCCTCTAATTGTTAATTATCATTTTTACTTTTAACACAAGGAATTTCAATAAGTTTGGGTAAATTAACAAAACTGTTATACGCCTACAATTTTACGCCAAAAAATCTCACATACTGCCCTTCACATGACAATCATGATAGTCAACCCCCTACATTTCTAGATAAAATTTCCCACTTTTGCGTCTCTGCACATGAAATTATGGAGGCTGTAAACTTTTGGTAAAATTATCACTTTGCTGCCTATACAAGGTGTACAATGTCCCATGTTCTATTACTCAATTGTTTAAATCTTTTAATAGCGAATGTATGTGATAAGAATGTCACTACGATATTAGGGTGATAGAAAGGCAACAAATCATCTATTATATGCCGTGCGCCACCTGCCAGCTACACACGTTTATTATCCTCAAATTTTTACATGAGTATGAACTGCTTATTAGCTCAAACAAAAAATAGGAGCTAAAATTAAACATCATTCAAAAAGCGTGATTTAGACATTTTTGTATAAATTGGAATCATGAAACTCTATTCTTCACCTCTGATTAACCTCACGTGCTTCTTGCTCATAAAAACAACATAACTGTTGCCATGTATGCTAGACAGTCATTTAAATTTATACTCATGATTTCTTTGGTGGCGCACTTATTTTTTGTGTGTTTTAGTTCAATAAACTCGAATCCCTGCTTACTGTTTCCCTATCCCTAAGCTCTATATACTATTATTATAGTGCGTGTCACGTATCTTGATCACTGTCTACGGTACAAAGGCGTTAATAGGGTGCTTCGTCGCGAATAATCAGGATGATTTTCCTCTCTTTACCCTCATTCTTTCTGCACCATGACTGGATTATGCTTAAAGAATTTGGAAAATGAAGCATCAGATAACAGAGCACATTGACACTGTTATATAGGACCACAATATAGGACTTTTAAGTTAGAAGTGAGGGATGTTGACCGTTCACGTATTATGTATAGGACCAAAGTCGTAAGATTTGACCAAAATGCGCAGGAGGTTAAGTTATTATGATTTGCATTGTTTTGAGACACAAAGTAAAACTTTTATGCAATTAGGCAAAGAGTGCAAAGTTAGTTAAACCCAATAACATTTATGAAGTCTATGATGATCCGAACATGGATATAAATCTATCGTCATTCTGAAATGAGAGTAAAAAATAATAAGTGAATCAAAATGTGCGATATATACTACAATAAGCCCTAGTAAGTTGTAGGTCTTCCATGTCACTTTGTCATCACTCTTGAATTTCCCAGTGCTGTGACACAGTTTCATTGGGCCACTATGAATTTTCGAATCATTGTCTAAATATAACGAATAATTAAAGATTTTTATCAATTACTCCAATTTTAAGGGCAAAGTTAGTCATATTGATTAAAATAGAAAATATTGTTGAACAAAAATAAATGTCAAAAATATTAATTTTTTGAATTTTTAGAAAATAATTCTACTTACCAAAGATAAAATACTATAAAATTTGATTAAATCTTATTAGAACATTTTTTTTTTTACCAAAGTAATCTTCTATTAGTATTTTTTGGAATAGATGATCATGTATGAGTGGTGTTAGGCTTTTAATGTTGTAATCATATCTTTAAGTACATATAAATATTTTTAGTCTTTGAATTTTTTATTGCTTTATGGATGGTTTAATAATGATGATAAAAGCCATCGTCGATATCTGACTTTTCGGAAAAATAGAAAACTAGTTTAATTGAAAATAAAACAACCACCATTACCATATTTATATCCAAACACATAAAAAAATTAAAAATAAAATAAACTGCTAAAAAAATTATCAATTTTACATAAGTTTATTTTTAGTGGATAGAAATAACTTTTTAAAAATTAAAAATATTTTTTTGACATTTATTTTTGTCAAATTATATTTATTTATTAAATATAACCATTTATACTTTAAAGTGAGAGTGAAGATATTTTTATGTATATCTCATATTTATAACAAAGGCTAACATTAAAATTAAAACAAATATCATCCATTAATTAAATCAAAAATTCAAAGTCACACAAATCTAAACTATAATCCACCTCTAAAAATCTGGTTTTTCTTTACCGTCTTGAGAGAAGATCTTCGTTTTTTAGATTTTTTGGAAGGTGATTATTTTAGATTGTGACTTTGATGAATTTGATTATTTAACTTATAATATGATTTGATTTTAACATTTTAAATTCTTTTTATAAATAAGAATAATTAAAATATCATTATCGTAATTTTAAATATAAATGGACTTAATTTAATATAAAATATAAACTAATTTGACAAAAATAAATGTCAAAAAAATATTTTTAAATTTTTAAAAATTATTTCTATCCACTAAAAATAAAATTATGTAAAATTGATAATTTTTTTAGACATTTATTTATTTATTAATTTTTATTATGTGTTTGGATGATAATCATGTAATGGGTGGTTGTTTTTATTTTCATTAAATTAGTTTCTATTTTTTCAAAAGTCAGATATGACGATGGCTTTTATATCATTATTAAACCAATCCATTAAATCAAAAAATTCAAAACTAAAAATATTTTATATATTAAAATATCGATTACACATTAAAAGCCTAACAACCACTCATTACATGATCATCATCCAAAAACATAATAAAAATTACTTTGGTAAAAAAAAATGTCTAAAAGATTTATCAATTTTATATAATTTTATCTTTGGTAAGTAGAAATTATTTTTAAAAATTCAAAAATATATTTTTGACATTTATTTTTGTCAAAATATTTTCTATTTTATCAAATTGATAACTTTGCCCTTAAAATTGAGTAATGATATCTTTAATTATTCATATTTAGAACAAGATTCAAAATTCATGGTGAAATGTGTCACAACTGAAAAATCAGGGATCAAAGTGACATGAGCCCTAAATTATAGGGGCTATTTGTGTAATTCCCCCTACATTTTTTATTCCTTATTATTTTTACTCTCATTTCAAATACAATAATTTAAGTCCATGTTCGATATCTTAATTCAAAATTTATTGGGTAATTACACTTTGCACTCTTGCACTTTGCATAAAATTTTACTTTGGTCTCAACACATGAAATCATAATAATTAACCTCCTGCACTTTTGGTCAAATCTTACTTTGGTCCCTATACATAAAATCGTGACGGTCAATCTCCTGCACTTCTACTTAAATCCTATTTTGGTCCCTATATAAGTGTCAATGTCTCTTTTCTGTTACTTCATTTTCAAATCTTTAACAAAATCCAGTCATGTGACTACGAAATGAGGGTAAGAGAGGAAAATCATCCATGTTTCCCACCAATACTCTTTGTCCTACATGATAAGCACATGAGAGTTATATAATACAATATATAGATTGGGATGAAACGGTAAGAAGATAGAGTTTTTGAACTAAAAAAAAAAATTGCGACAAAGAAATCAGGTATAAAGAAAGATGAATAGACAAAAGACTGTGTTACAGTGAAAAATAGAGTTTCATGATTCCAATTTATACAAAATTCTAATTCATCTTTTTAATTGTTTATAATTTACGTTTTTTTTTAGCCTAATACAGTCATATTTTGATGTAAAATTTGGGATAAAGTGTGTATTGGTGGAAAATATAGATGATTTTCCTTTCTCACCCTAATATCGTAGTGACATTCTTATCACATGATTACATTCTATTAAAGATTTAAACAATTGAGTAATAGAAATGGGACATTGACACTTGTATAGGCACCAAAGTGATATTTTACCAAAAGTACAGTCATAATTTCATGTGCAGAGACCAAAGTGGGATTTTACTAGAAATGTAGGGGTTGACTATCATGATTTCATGTGTAAGGGCCAGAGTGAGATTTGGCGTAAAATGTAGGCGTATAAAGTGTAATTTACCCAAACTTATTGAAATTCATTGTGTTAAAGTAAAAATTGATAATTACAATTAGAGGAATTCTTAAATACGTCTTGCATATGGTATGCAAAGCATATGTACTATAGTTATACATTCTTTTAATTGCTATAAGCAGTTCAATTTTACAAAACACTTAAGTTAACACAAATTTGAGTAAGTTATCTCATCAAAATCTGAACAACACAAAACGCGTAAGTTTTCACGAACTCACTGTATGTTCTCTCACAAAAATGCGTAAGTTAATCACAAATTTTCCGTAAATTGTCTCAAAAAAAAATTGAAGAATACAAAATCCCCGTAATTTTCAAGAACTCACATAAGTGATCTCAACCGCATAAATTAACTCAAATTCGAGTAAGTTACCTCAACAAAGTTTAAACAATACAAAAACGACTACGTTTTCACAAACTCACGTAAGTGCTCTTACAAAATTCCGTAAGTCAAACACAAATTTCACGTAAGTTGTCTCAAAAAATTTACGAACACAAAATCTTGTAAATTTTTCAAGAACTCACATAAGTAATGTCAAAAAACATATAAGTTAACACAAATTTGAGTAAGTTATCTCATCAAAGTTTGAAGAACACAAATCCTACAAGTTTTCAAGAACTAAGTGATATCAAAGAACCGCCTAAGTTAACACAAATTCGAGTAAGTTATCTCATCAAATTTTGAACAATACAAAAAGCATAAATTTCACGGACTCTAGTAAATGCTCTCACAAAAATCAATAAGATAAACGCAAATTTCCCGTAAGTTGTCTCAACAAATTTTTTGAAGAACACAAATTCCTG